TTTTTTTGACTTACTATTAAATTAAATTAGTATATTAAAGGACACAAACATAGAATGACATCAATGACCCATATACATACTGCAGATGCAGAACTGAACTGAACAGAACTGCACTGTTCTTCTATTGAGCTGCAATCTGTGACGCAGGTTCAAGTTCTCGAGCACTTCCTGGAATTGTCGTTTGCCATGTCAGTAGACATTAAAAACTGAATTTCTATACATGAGAAAGTCACATATGGTGGCACTCTGTGTAAACATAGCTGTCTTTCATTCTCGTTCCTCCTCTCAGATGATGCGTTGAGGTGGACCCAATGGTTTGGTCCTTCTCCTAAAAACATCTTCCCTCCATCTACAGCACGCTGAGATTCCCGACTTGCTTTCAGGCGCTAAATGGAGCGTTTCTGCTGGCCGCGGAGCTCACAGCCCATCTTTAGCAAGGAAGACGTAAAGCAAAACAGTCATTAGCTTAGCAGAATAAACCTCCAACACCGTAAGAAAACAATTAGAAATCTATTACCTTCCTGTGAAAGATGAACGGTTTAAACAGTGTTTTAAACATCAGTACAAGGGGACCGAACGCTCCGAAATGATTCCAGGTGATTTGAGGTGAAGGATAGCGGTTGGAAGTGCGTAAACCAAACCAGAGCCGACACTGTTAGCATTCTTTCACAACGGGTAGAAGCTTCTGAAGCCTCCTGATCCTTTAACCAAGCAAACCAGTGCTGCAGAAGCTACTGATTAACCTAACTAGGGCCAAACCAGTGACCGGCCTCATCCAAGACAAAGAACTGCACAATGCTGAGCTGGCCAGAGACTCACTGTCTCGATACTCAAGGAATCTTTCATTTACAGGAAGAGTAAGTCACTGCAAACACAAGTGGTTTTGTTGGTGAGAACCTGACAAATGTCTTTATTTTATTTTTTTTTATGGTACATTTGCAGGGACTTGAAACTCAGCAGATTGAAACTGTGTTTGTCAGTGTGAGTTCATTCAAAAATGAAAATTCTGTGATAATTTGTCGTTCCAAAACCAAGTGATATGGTTTCTTTTGTGCAACACAAAAGGTGAATTTTTCAAAATAATGACAGTAATTAAAGTTTGGATTTGTTAAGGTCCAAAAAAATAAAAAGCACCAAAAACATTAAAAATGACAATGTGACAATGATTAGTTAAAAAAAGTCAAATATAATAGTAATATAAAATAACTAAAGAACAAAAAAAAAATAATAATAATTATGATGATGAGGACGATGATTCTGGGTCTGTCAAGTTCCATAAATAAAAAAATAAAAAAAATAACTAGTGAAATTAAACGACAACTAGGGCTTTCAAGCTACAAAAAATAAATAAATAAATATAAATATTATATTATAAATAAATATAATATAATATAATATAATATAATATAATATATAATAGCTCCACAAATGACAAAAATGCACCATAAAAGTACCATAAGAATAAATAAATAATGTAATGTAAAAATAATATTAGTAAAAGTATAAAAGTAGAGTTTTAATATAAAAAGTGAAACTTAATGAGGACTGGGACTGCAAGCTTCAAAAATGAAGAAAAAAGCATTATAAAAGTGAATCATGTGACTTGACCACGGTGTTCCTGGTTTTCCTGCAAGTCTATCCGAGTTTTGTGTGAGGAACAGATTAAAACTGTATTAGTCCTAAACAAAATCACCTTTTCTGCTCCACAGAAGTCAGTCAGTCACGCAGGATGACAAAATGTGTATTTCAGACTGAACTGTCCTCATTAATAAAGCACTTGAAGCAGCAAGTTCTCATGTCCACCAGGACACAAATGCAGACCATCTCGTCCCACTTCACCTCTCTGCTCTCTGATGAAGCACGCTGTATCCGTGTCTGTCTCTGTTTGTTATTAACAGAAATGAAAAAGGAAAGAATCCAATATGTCTGGCATGCACGTGAACTAATATCGTGTCCCATATGCTGAAGAAGCTCTTTAATCAACATGCTCCGCACAGCATCTGAACACGCAGCTTTCAGAGCTTTACACACAAATCTGCTACACTGAAGATCAGGACTGAGCACACGGCAAACACGACGGGATTGAGCAGATAAAAGCAGCACACACGAACACAAATGACATCTGAATCACTCTCAATCCTGAAATAATCGAACCACATGGCATTGAATCTCCTCTGAGCAAAACACATCAAGGAACGGAAAGCTTACAATTGGGGTTTGCTCGTTTTTTGCCAAGAAGGATTTTGACATGCAACCCTCAATGGATCAAACCGCTGTGATTCTTATCACGTCACATAGACTATTTTTATTGTCATATTTTCGCTGCATTTTTTTCTTACTATTTTCTCATCTAGGCAAGAAAAAGTGCAATGATTGTACTAGATGGTAATATATAATGGTACAGAATGACTATCATATTCATATTCATACATACATACATACATACATACATTATATATATATATATATATATATATATATACACACTAAAAAATGATGGGTTCAACCTGGTTCCATTTATCACAGCAAGTCTTCCAGGTCCTGAAGCAGCAAAACAGCCCCAGACCATCACACTACCACCACCATATTTTACTGTTGGTATGATGTTCTTTTTCTGAAATGCAGTGTTACTTTTACGCCAGACGTAATGGGACACACACCTTCCAAAAAGTTCAACTTTTGTCTCGTCAGTCCACAGAGTATTTTCCCAAAAGTCTTGGGGATCATCAAGATGTTTTCTGGCAAAACTGAGACGAGCCTTTATGTTCTTTTTGCTCAGCAGCGGTTTTCGTCTTGGAACTCTGCCATGCAGACCATTTTTGCCCAGTCTCTTTCTTATGGTGGAGTCATGAACACTGACCTTAACTGAGGCAAGTGAGGCCTGCAGTTCTTTGGATGTTGTTGTGGGGTCTTTTGTGACCTCTTGGATGAGT